CCGAATAACGAAACCCAAGACGACAAGGTGCGCGATTGTATACGTATTAAAGTAAATATATGCTTCTGAGACTACTTAAGATTTCCGAGGTAACGTATATTACTGCGCAGATGTTGGCTGAACTAAAAAACTGATTCCCAAGATACGTAGGTGTCTTGACATGTCTTGGAGGTCAGTCTAAAGCACTCGTTGACAGTTCCAGAGCTACCCTCTCATAGAAGAAAAATAGAAGGAAGACTGATATGTTCATTTCTGGCTTTTTGGTCATCACAGGCCAGCTCTACTCGTTCCTCAGGATTTGCAACACATGATGCCCGAACTTGCGACCTTTCAGTTACAAATCCGGCTATTAGGCCAGAAATGTCTCTGTTGGTAGTACCTTTCTGTTTGCAGGATCAATGGGACACATTTGTTCCTTAACCAGATCAGTGGATCCCATGCGATCATATTACATAGATAGCTATCCCAGACTACAATAAGTCAGCGGGGGACAGAGCCTATGGGCTCGAGCAAAATCCTAACCACGGCTATAAGGGTGCCGCGTAGCACCTGCGATCGGCTATGACTAATTTATGACGGCTAATAAACCAGAAACGGCCATCCCGGTATGCCTGGTTTCTGTCGCTTACGCCGTTCTGCCTATAATATACACTAATACTACCTATTATAACATTAACCATTTGGGTACTGGCTAAAAGCCCTGGCAAGTGTTTCGTCGATGATCCTGCTGCTGTATAATGGAGTAACGAGGGGTTCGGCCTATCGGTGTGTCCCCCAGGGTTGTCCTGATCATGTCGTGGTCACTGAACTTCATGTCATGCACTTAATAATTTCCAAAATTATTCCTTTGATTATTGTGTGGAGTTTATAAAACTGAAGTAGCATGGCATATCTATACATATGCATGATAACATGGATCCAACAAAGCAAAGGAATACTGAAATGGCCATTTCCGGCTTGCTAGCCGTCATCAGCCTTTCATACCCCACCTCAGGTGGGGATCACCCGGGATTCGAGCCCAGGACCTTCGGCCATTGAGTTTAACCCTCCACCATTACACAACTGGCTCGCTGCCTTGTTCGTGGAGATCGGAATAATGATTAATATGTGGGGATCGCATTCTAAATCGATAAATGAAGAAAGAAAGCTCTTCGGGAAAAATCTGATTTTACTCGTAC